ACTGTGAGGATGCATGGGGTTCTGGTAACCAACGTACCCGATAGAGACCTACAATTCACGTCACGGTTTTTGGTCGAAGTTCTAAGAGTCTATGGGAAAATAATTTAAGTTCAACACTGCTTTTCATCCACAGACAGATGAACAATCTGAACGGGTTATACAAATCTTAGAAGATACTACCTCCATCCCACTAAGATTGGGACGGAAGAAAGTGGCACAATTATTAAGAAAAATGAGTTTATGTGGTTGATATTGAATTGATAAAGTAAGAATGATTAAGAGCCACACAAACTTTACCAAATATGCATGGTATGGGACGATCTTAGTGGGATTTCCTGAAAAGGTAAAATGGGACAATCATAGCGGGACAGATGGAGTATGTTGAGAGCTCATGCATTGGAGTTTCAAGGGAGTTGAGACAAACACCTAGCACCTGTAGAGTTTGGCTATAACAATAGTTATCAGACGAGTATCTGACATGCCTCCATACAAGACATTGTATGGGAGGAGGTGTCGTACGCCCTTGTGTTTGGATGAGGTTGGCACAGCTAACTCAAGGGCACAGAACTAGTGGAAATCACCAAGACAAAGGTAGAGTTGATTTGAGAGAAACTTAAGACAGTACATGATAAAAAGAAGAGCTACGCTGATAAGCATCGGAGAACCTTGGAATTCAAGGTTGGAGATAAGGAATTTCTTAAAGTTCCACTTTGGAAAAAAACATCTCATTTCAAAGCCGATGAAAACTTAAGTCACACTATATAGGGCCATTTGAAATTCTAGAAAGAATTAAGATCATAGCATATCGGTTACTGTTGGAAATACATATACATATAATAGAAGCAACAAAAGAACAAATCAAATGAACTGTTCTAATATTTTCAGGACCTTCATCATGTTGAATACCAGAGTATAATAATAATACTACCTGGACCGATAGCAAAACCGTAGGAGGAATGGAATGAGGTAGATGATGTCTGGCTCTTCCTCAATTGAACCGTCTCGAGGCCTTAGTCTCTCTTCTGATGGGGAGAAGAGAAAGTGAATTGGGGTGGTTTAATGTATTGGGGACCATAGCCTATTTATAGAGTTGTCTAGTTAGGACTCCCATTAAACCCTAACAAGTAACATGGGCCTTTGTCCATTTATTTGGCACATATAATATATCTTAATAGTCTATTGGGCTTAGATAATATTGACCACATAAAACCCGATTATGATAAATAGCTAATACAATAATTATAATATTAGCCCATATTAATTATTGGAATAAAATATTCCAACAATTACAGCTAGCTCCAGAATTGGAGAGGATACATAATGTGTTCCAAGTATACATCTATGCTTAAGAAATATGTTATGGGTTCGTCTCATGTGCTAAAGAAACCACCCGTGGAAATAAATGAAGACTTGAATTACGTCGTGCAACCGGTAAAAATACTTGATAGGCGAGTAAAAAAATTAAGAAGAAAGGAGGTTCCAATAGTTAAAATCCTTTGGAAGATCGAAGAAGAAACTTGGGAGACAGAAACTTTGATGAAGAAACAATATTCCTTCCTACTTAAGTAGCATTATGAATTTCGGGGAAGAAATTCTCATTAAGGAGGAGGGGGGACGAATCCCGAATGAACTTTAAATTATAATTTCAAGTTCAATTTGTGTATTTGAATTACCTATTTTAATCACGTGTAAGATGATTAAGGATTTAATTAATAGATGATTAATTATACTATATATTGGGCCTACAATATTAGGAGGGACTACCTAATATTTAGTTGGTCCATCTTATTGATTATAGTATCCCAATATAATGTAAAATAAGTTATATAAGTTGATTGGGTCGAAATATAAATGATCGGGCAACACAGGTAGTATTTTGGCCTAACTTGCTAAAAATAACAATAATAATAGGGAGGGACATCCTACACCCACGGGGGTAGTCCACACATCTTGTAGCTCAAAATAATAAGGGAGTGGACAGATATTATGGATATGAGCGGAGAAATGGGTGAGGAGATGACCAGAGACAAATGAAAACTCCCTAGGGCCCTACCATTCCCAATATTAAGAGCTAGTTGGTTTGAAGATACTTCCCCTCTATCATTGTACACCAAGTGAATGTCTTAGCTAGGACGAAGCAAGAAGAAAGAAAACTCAAGGAGAGAGGCTCGATTTGAAGTAAAACGCAACTAGTATCCATTAATTAGTATCTTGTTCATATGATTTTTAAGAAATCAGATGAGCGATTAAAAAAGAATTTCTACACATTTAAATGTGTAGAATAATGTTATAAAATATTGTTCTTTAACTAGAAACAAGTAATGAATCAATAGGAAATTGAAATCGCCATAAATCGCCCAAAGGAGGAGAATGTTTCACGTTCCACGAGCAAAAGCCACCCGATATTTGGTGAAAGCTGTCTAGCGTTCACTCTTTGTTCAAGTAGTTCATTCTTTATCAATCTTGAATGGGGTTGGCCAAGGGGCTTGATGAGGTCAACTAATTGAGTACGTCATAAGGTGAAGATTGCTGACTATATTGCTTATAATTAATGAATTGGTTCATGTGATTATCCGAAGTGTTAAAACATGATTTCCTGAATGATAAATGCCTAATAATATGAGAAATGTGGATATTGTCGTCTATGAAGGAATGAGGCGTGACTTAGGAGTCTAGGGAGACATTGTGCGTGATTATGTGTTATAATAGTGGTGGTATGCTAGATGAGAAAATTATAAAATTTTATGATGAGATATGACTTCTATTTCATATTGGGATTATATGGATATGGGAAATGAATATTTTTTGTGTGTTGGAAATGAACTATGATTTGGTTGAAAATACCGATTTGAATGGGTTAGATATTCACGATTCAGAGGCTGAATTTACTAGAACTAAACCGAATAATACTAGGATGCTAGCCCAGGTTAATGTATGATTTTTGTTAGAATTAATCCTAAAATCTTAGATCGTTGATGAATGATATGTCTTAGAGTATCTCAAAGTAGGGGTGGACCCAGTTGCTGTCCGATCCAGTCCCGATTTCGGTCCTAGTGTCAATGTAAGGTAGACCGAGTTCAAACCGGATAAATCCGATTCTGTGCCGGTTTCGATCCCCCGGTGCGGTCCGGTTCCGGTGCGGCCTGATCCGATTTGATCCTTTATTTCAATTACAAGGAAAAAAACGGTCCAGGACCAGAACCGCCCGGTATCCCTAAAAGCGTGAACCAAGATCGCTCTTTACCCGGTTTGATCCGGTCCAGCATAGTACCGGACCTGGTATCGGTCTGGTCCGGCATAGTACCAGACCCGGTATCGGTCCGATCCAGTCTGGCACAGTACCAACCCTGGTTCCTGTCCGGTATGGGACCTTAGATTAGGTAGTCTTGGACTCGGGCCGGGCCGTCGGTTCTGAATAGATGGGCCCGGGACCGGCCCGGGTACCCACTGGGTCCGGGCCGGGCCGGGCCTATTATCATTTTTTTCCCTTTTCCCAATTAACCCCCCTCCCACCCCCAAACCCCAAACCACCCCAAATGGCCCAAAATACCCAGCCCAACCCGAAAATTGAAAAAAAAATTGAAAAAAAAATCAATTTTGGCCCGAACCGGGCCTTGTTTTGGGTGACCCGAGCCCAGACCGGAAAACCCACGGGTCGGGCCTACCTGGACCGGTCACTGACCGGACCACCGGGTCGGGCCGGGCCGAACAGTACCGGTCCCAGGCCGGTTCCGGGTCAGGCCACCCGGCCTGAGTCCACCACTAAGATCAGGTCCATCCCTACCTCAAAGTGGTCTACTTGATAACGTGGTAAGGTACGAGCTTTAGGTTATATACTATGGGCAACCCTTGAGGATAACGCAATGTAACTTGATTAATCTATGATCTTAGATATAGGATTTGTCTAAGGGTGTATTGGATAGTCCTTGAAGATATGAGGGTGAATTATGGTTAGATGTAAAAGACATGGTCTAACCTGACTCTAGAAAGCGTGCCCGATAGCATGGGTGATGGACTTATGGCATAATCGTGTATAGGAGTGAAATCCGACCTAAAGACCCTATGAGTCTCCTGACCACGGTAACACACTAGCACTTAAATTAGGACTCAGAATGAGCCATATCTCATACGAGAAAAAGACATGAGTCCAGGGGCGAGATGTTGGGCACCAACCCGAGGATCCCATGAAGCATCCAACAACGATGACAAGTCCCTACAATTGATATGGCCTTGAGTTGTATTGTAGGAATGATGAACGAAATGAAATATCACTAGGCGATATGAATGGGTTGTGTTAAATACAAATGGACCCATGTGCCGATAAATTGACTTTAGATACTCAAGTACAATTTTAAAAGGGTAAAGATGGTTTATCACCTATATTATCATATCATCATATTTGAGGGTTAAGGGTTGAAACATTGATTATATACCATGTAGTTGTCAACTTGTCATTATACTTTTCAAATGCTTCAAAGTAGGGTTGGACTCGGGCCGGGTGGCCCGACCCGGAACCGGTCCGGGACCGGTACTGTTCCGGCCCGGCCCGAACCGGTGGCCCGGTCAGTGACCGGTCCGGGTAGGCCCGACCCGGTGGGTTTCCGGTCCGGGCTCGGGTCACCTATAACAAGGCCCGGCCCGGTTCGGGCCAAATTTATTTATTTTTTTGGTTTTTTTCATTTGTTTGGGCTCCACCGGGTTGGGCTTGATGTTTAGGAGGGATTTGGGGGGTGAGGGTGAGGGGGGGGTCAGGGATGGGTAGCTAAGCAAAAAAAAAAAATTAACCAAACTCGAGGCCCGGGCCGGGCCGGTCCCGGGTCCAGCTATATAGAACCGCCGGCCCGACCGGGCCTAGGCCCGACCCGGCCCGAGTCCAACCCTACTTCAAAGTATTAACATCTCCTCCGGGGAGGGCATCTCACAATTTCAAGTGGAAGCTAACAATGACAGAGTCATTCAGTCATAAATGGAAGGTTGGGGGGGGGGGGGGGGGGGGGGGAGAGTTTAAGGAATTTATATTGAAAGGGTCAAAACTTAAAACTTCATTATATTTTTTAATGCTTATAAATACTTGTACATACATATATATACATAAAAAAAATCTTGGAGAGACTGAGACCCCCGTCAGCCTCCCCCTGTCTCCATCCCTGGAAGCTAGAACTTGCTTCATGTGCCCGTTGCTTCAGAAGATCTTAGAGGGAAGACCCATTGCTTCGGAAGATCTTGGAGAGAAGACGTGATTTGTGCTTCCTCCATTTATTTTTGGGAAAACTATCAAATAAGCCCTCGTACTATACCGAAAAAGTCGATTAGGCCCTCGTACTTTACAAACACTCAATTAAGTCCTCGAACTATTAAAAAACGTTCAATTAAGCCTTTTCGGTCAGTAAGTAACCGGTTTCCCGGTTAAATGTAACCTGTTTCCCGGAAGCCGCTGTTGGTGGAGTTCGAGCACATTGTCGCCATCGTCGTTGTTTAACCGGGAAATCAGTTACTTACCCACCAAAAGGGCTTAATTGAACGTTTTTTAATAGTTCGAGGACTTAATTGAGTGTTTGTAAAGTACGAAGGCCTAATCGACTTTTTCGGTATAGTACGGGGGCTTATTTGATAGTTTTCCCTTTATTTTTCAACTTTTCAAACGCTTGATCATAACATTTTCTATCTATAGAAAAATATGAATGGCATAGCTCCATTACAAGTGTACAACCAAGAAATATATTCTTACATGTTGCAACATAAAATATGCTATGTGGCTAATGTAGAAAACTTGAAAGATCTACATGTATTTAGCCATGTTTTAAGCAAGACACACAGCCTATTAAAATAGTGCGTAGTATTAAATAATGGTAATATTAGTATAATCTGCTTTATTTATTTTAGTTCAAACTAACCACTCCTAACCACTCCTATTTATTTGAGCAGCCAACTGCAAAAAGCAGTGGCAAACATCCTCCATCACTTTTATCACGGAAAACTGGGTATCAAGATCTCTGTACCTTTTAAGATACGTATCATCCAACACTTTCACTACTGCATCTAAGCTAGGCATCTGGAAGTTGGGTATTCCAAAGGCAGTGTTGCAGTTCAGGATCACTTTAACATCTGCCCAAATCAGTGAAGCTATCTCTAAGCTGTGAGAATTTTCTGTCGCGATTGAAGTTCCACCTTTATCTGCTGATGACCCTGCATCAGTTTTTCCCCATAAAAAATTATTAAAAGAGCATAAAGAATAAGAGCATGGTCATTATCTGCACAAAATGCCTTTTAGGATGTAAGCGTCCCCGGTCCCCCTCTGGTGGTTTTATATAGCTTATCAACGGAGTAATGAGAAGGGAGAACTGTCAAATGTGCTCTTTTTTATATACATCGGAAAGGATATGCCCTTCTACTCTATGATAAAAAGCGATTAAACCCTTGTACTATGAAAACACCCAATCAAACCCTTGAAGTTGTAAAAAAAAACTCAAATTGACAGTTTAACTGGTCATCATGCAGTTCACCAGTTATCTTCTTATGTGGCTGACATGTTTAATGGTAATTCATAGTTACTTATTCAATTTTTTGATACATATAGTCTACTACCAGCAATCCAGTACCTCATACGCGTTAAGTATCTTCTTTGGCAATGCTTTTGATGGCCGGCAACTTTACCAGTGCAACCTCCACCTCCAGGAAAAATATCTTATTTCTTACTTTGTTTCTCTGTTTTTTCTAAGTTCATTCACGCAGTTCTCTCATTTTCCCAATCTATTCTTTGTTTTACTCTTTCATTTTTGTTACCTTTTTGTTCTTTCTGTTGTTTATCTCCATTCTTCGTCATTCCCTCTTGTCTGTTCTTATTTCTTCTTCTCACTAATTTATTTCTTCTTCTATAAAGAAAAAAAAAACTCCTGATTTATTATTAGATCTGGAAGCCACATGTATTGAGAATCCCCCAATTAGGTTAAAATATCAACTTAAATGATCACTTCTTTTTAAATTATTGTTTATTAGTAGGATAAAACTAATAGCAATAACAATCAGATCAAATTTGAAATACATATTGTTTCCTAGGCTAGATATATCTAGACCAAAAGGTGAACTATCAACTTAAGATATGCCATCAAATTATTAAGATTAGTAGGTTATATTAATTAATAGGAAAAATCAATTACACGATATTTTGAATATATAATGTTTACTTGGTTGCCTGGAACATACGATAGTATATTGAAGATTTTTTTAATAGTTTGGGCTCAGATTGAGATCTTGTTGAAACCCTCCAAAACAATTGGCCAAATAATTGACGCATAAAAGACAAACTTGTCACGGATTGAAGAAAATCGTCGAGTAACTCGGCGAGTCAAACTTGTCACCGATGGAAGAAAATTGTCAAGTACTCCGCGAGTAGATAACACGAGTCTCGAAGTAGAAAGGTTGTTAAGGGGAGGAAATTGCCAAGGAAACGGTCTTTGTGTGTGGGTTGGAATTAGCCAAGGAAATACGAAGGACAATCATCTTTGATGAAAAAATACAGTTTTACATATCGTAGTGCTTCCCCCCCCCTAACATTTTCTTTCCTTCCAAATTTCCCCCTCATTTTCCTAACTATATTATCTCCTTGTCATTTCTTGAGTTCTAAACAGACCCGAAAGACTGACAATAGGACACTTAGTTCAGCAAAGTGATGTAGCATATACCTGGCTCATCATTAGGCTTGACAAGTACATGACCACCAACGCTCTTCTCGGATGACTGTGGATTGGTTGAAAGACGATGTTTCCCCTTGCTTCTAAGATCCATCTGTCCATCACATGGCTGAGGTGGTCCCTGAAGAAGTGCATCCCCACCATCATCATGCCTTGTCCGTGAAGTCCCGCCAAGGCTGGACGGTGATGGTTGACCATCTTGCGGTCTCAAACGAAATCTTTTTAATGGTCTTTCGGGCTCTTCATTCAAAACCTCGTCTTCCTCCAAAGCACCCTCCTGCTAAAAAATGTGCACAGGAGAAAAACAAGGATGAACAACCAATCAGTACATATTACAGAACAATTAGTGCCTGTTTTGTTAATCTTTTTTTTTACTGCAATGGCTGAACCAGTTGAATTTATGAAAGCAAAACCTCAAGGTAAAAACCGATCTCAACCATATATAAGTAATTCGTAGGCTACTATATGTAGAGCCTGTTGGGTGATCCTAAAATGTCTGAACTCTGCAGTGGCTGAATTTGGATAAGTTGTGGTTGAACTTGCTTAATCTGCTCATTGATCTAAAGAATCATTTAAAATGAATGTAGAAATGTCACTTTCTTTATTTCAACCATTTCAACCAAACACTTACTTTTGTACTACTTTCTTCATTATGAACATATTTAGCCAGCAAAATTAATTCTGAATCTCATGGATAAGTCATAAGGGTGATAAGCTGAAAGGAAAAAATTCACCAGATGGGGTCCTATTCTGATTATGGTTAATTTTTGTAAAAGCAAGATAAGACAACTGATGTTACCGAATACCAAACAAGGCCCTAGTAAGTTTAACAATGCATCAATGATTAAATGATAGTATATATAAAGGACAATGGCTAGACAATAAAGGAGGTCCTTACTGCAGCACAGATCGAAGATTTTGCACGTCTTGCTTCCTATAAGATCGATGTAAACAATAGAACGTTTATGGATATTAATTGAGACAGTGAATAAAAAGGTGATTATTGAAAAAAGAAAAAAGAAACTAGACTCACCTCAGCTTCATCATACTCAAAAATTGCATCAAAAAGGGATCTATAATTCTCCTCCTCAATGAGATCCCAGTTTTTATTATACAACTTTAAAAGACGTTTCAATACAGGCTTCACCTTTTCTTCACTGATCCCGAGAACCTTTGTAGCACGGAAGGCATTTGCAATCCTTTTCCTAGAATCAGGACCCATAGACTCACAGAAGAATGAATTTGTAAATCCACCTAATTCTTTCTGCAACCAAAAGCACAGAAAAAAGAAACCTATATATTCACATGAATAGATGCATAAAATTTATTTTTAAGGACACATCTATCTCTATACAAAAGCAAGTGGTTGTCTGAAGGATCTGAGCAGAGTACAACTCATTTAATGCTCTATTAACGAGTCAAATTTAACAGGTCAAAAAGGGTCAGGTCAATTAAACCAATTTTGCGGAGTGTGACTGCTAGGGTGGTTATCATCATCATCATTACCCCAGTGCCGCAAAGGCTCCCGTCTACATTGGGGTAAGGGGGGTCGGATGTACGCAGTCTTACCCCTGTATTAAAAGGGGAGAGTCTACGACTGCTAGGGTGGCACGGGTCAAAATTTTAGTTCCCCAATTTTTTGGACCAACATAATTACATATCTCTTTACTCTAATTTTCCCTTTTGCAATAAATTCAAAGCAGACTTTTGAATATGACTTTTTGGTCAGTTCATATGTGTTTATGTAATTGCTTTTCTTTTATACTCCATTCGACCTTTATAACTTTACCATCTTCCTACCTTGAATGTGTGGTTCCAGTCATTTCTCTCTCCTCTACACAAATCTCAAACACACAGTTTTTACATTATTATTTCTCGTGTCAGTACAACTTGGCAAAGTTTAGAGGTACGGAGGGAGTAGTGTTTAAGTACAGAACTATTAAATGCATGGCACTAAGGAGATCTTTCATGTTCGATTCTACCCAATTTCAATTTATTGCATTGACAGGAGTACAAAGATACTATGAATATATATATATATATATATATATATATATATATATATATTCAAACCTCTTTACTAATTAAATTAAATTTATATGTAAAATATAATCGTCCCATCACTCATTCATATGGCATACTACTCTGCCTTGGATACACGAGGAATGCCATAAGGAAACCCGAGCCAAATCTACTATAAATAAGGAGCATTTAGCAACACAATGGGACAGCAATTCATCAACAAAACATTGCCGAAAAAATGTGGCATGTAGTCTCTCAAATGCATACAAACCTTTTTTTAAATAAATAAAAAACTTGCAATCATTCTATGAAAAATGTGTTTAAGAAGCCATTTTTATTAATGTATTCAGGATTTCAAATAAAAAACAGAGTAAAGATTTTTTATATAAGCTACTCATATCATTTGATGCTTGAAGTTTGCTAGTCACTGCAACGCTCAAACTAGAGGTCTTCTAATTTTAACCGCCACTCAAAAATAATGCGGCCTGGTGGTGTGTGGGCTGTCTAACTGTTAGAGAGATCTAATGGCCTGTTTAGGCTGCCTGTGTGTTTCTATCTGCCTACTGGTTCTTGATTTAAATGGCATGTGTGGCATAAGCCCGCAATAATTAAGATGAGCTCACTACCGGCAAATGGAACAGACTGAAAACTAAAACGGCACCATATGTTTATTAATAATATGAAATGGAACCTAAACTATGTTTATTAATCTAGAACACACAGTTAAGTCAAAATGAAATGGAACCTAAACTACGTTAATTCCCTGTTCCTCCTGACTGCTCCCATGGCAACACACAATTGAAGAAGAAGAAGATAGAGGGTAGGTCAACTTACCTTAGATGAAAATGGAGAACTCAAGCGAGAATGTGTGGATCTGGAAGAGGCTGAAATTAGGTCGCAGTCCAGCAATTTTGAAGTATGCGCAGCGGAGGTTCTCGTCGCTGTGGCCAGAGGAGAATTGCGAAAATAAAAACAAGGGTAAAAGTAAGTGCAAATTACCCGTCTAGTACTCTAGTCTACATTTGAGCCCGAAATATCATTTATGGTCTAGTTGATCCTTCTTTTCATTTTTAACTTTTCTTTTTTCATTATTGGTTTTCTATTTCACTTTTAGATAATTTTTACCGACCTCCTCCATCAGCGCTTACTTCCGTCTCCCTTCTACGAAATTAAAGAGGCATGAGATCGACGGCTTGGCGAGGGAAGAAGCTCCTGGTCGGCAATTTCCTTTGAATCGGTGGCTCTCATTGGGAACCTCATCTGAGCGATTTGAGGACAACTGGGACACGTTGTTGGAGCAGAGTTTGGCATAAGTGATGGAGTTCTCAACATCGCGACACGTATACTCCATGTGTGCGCAATCCAGCTCTCAATCTCGTGTTTGACCTTTCATCTGACACCGTTCAGGGCTGCGACCTTCCAGCTAATGGCGGCCGGGTTCGCTAATATGCTCGAGGCCGATACTCAGGACAGAGCTTGGCATCAGGATCGACGGTTCTGGAATTCAAAGGGATGCAACTTCAGGTGTGGATTGCCGTGTGGGAGGCTACCTGGGAGGTTGCCAGCTGGGGTAGTTCCGTATCAGCTCCAACTTCTCGAACAATAGGTACAGATGAGTTTGTTGTTTTAATGGAAAGCAAATCTTTGCCATTTAAAATTGATTGCAGCAAAAACATTACATATTAGGTTTGTGGAACTTTTTTTTGCTTCCTATTTATGATATTTTCAGCATTAGTTCATGTTCTTGAGATTGATACTTCGTTTATAGAATCTGGAAATATGTTTGATTATTCACAGAAACTGGCCAATCGAGCTGATATTTTGCTTCATAGCTGACTTTTGTTAAATTTGATTAGTTTATTTTATTTTCCAATCAAAATTCAGAAAATCTAGAATGTATATGTTACTTTATATTTTGTCCTTGCTTCAGACGTTTAATGATGCACTTAAGTGTATATACGTATATATAATTATTTTTACTTATATGTAACCTTATTAAATTCAGTTTTATGTCATGAATATTTACTTAATTAAACTAAATTGGGTATAATGATTATTTCAAGCTCCAAGAGTTAATTTCTGCAATGATAGATCAAAAGTAGTCCTCCTTGTTAGTTCTATTAGGTGCTTCAATTTTGTGCACATATCCTCAAGAGAATATAATTTGGAAGAAGAGGATAATTCCTAGATGTTATGTTTTTCGGACTTTGGCAGGAAAGGGTTTGTTAAAAGAATGGCCTAAAGCTACTTACTAGAATGTTAGTTGCATCAGAAGAGGAGTTTGTCTCAAAGTTTGCCAAATGCTTTGAGAGAAAACTACCTAACTTGCTGAAACTATATCAGACTTCTGGCAGCAATGCTTAAGTTGACATTGCTCGATGGTTCATGACCAGTTTTTTTGTTTGGCTTAATTTATTGTGTACTGTAAACCATCTCTAGTTACGCTTTTGTTTAGATCATCACTAAGATGTCAGTCTTTTAATTGCTGATATCTTTTGACAATGAATGAATGGCCTGTTTGAAGTTATCTGGTGCATATACATGTCCTTTCTGAACATCTGCCATATTACACCTATGATTAAACATCGATGAGAATAGTTATTCCATGTACTTTCCTAGAAACATTACATTTACTAATAATTGATGTGGTACTTGGATCAGTTGGATGCAAGTAAAAAGAGAACAAGTGATAATAAAAAATATAGATACTATGCCACAACAGGCAACTATGAAGAGTTGATAGCTGTTGGAATCATTGATCCAATTAAAGTTGTGAGGTGTACATTGCTTAGAGGACGCTTCATCAATGGCCAAGACATTTTCGATATGTGATTGTGTGGTGGTTGAGATTAAGGAACCTGAATCATCTTTGGCTCCAAACCTCATGGATATCTCTGGTTATGGTCACTAGGTTTGATCAAGACATTTTTTGTTTCTTTTTGTTGCAATATGTTGTGTTTTGTTTCATTATGTTAGTTTTTGTTATATTACATATGTTGCTGTTTTTTGCATATTGTTTCTTATGTTATTTATTGTTTCTTATTTTAATAGATTGAATTAAATATTTGTTGTGATGCTCTTATATACTACATATTATTTTCTCTTGCTTTTTGTTGTAACACATGTATTGCATTTTGTTGCATTGTGTTACTTTTTGTTATATATTGTTACTTTTTGTTGCACTATGTTTCTGATTGTTTATTGTTGATAATGATATTTGTTGTTTATTTAATTTTCTATTTATTTTCTACATCTTTAAAATATAAATATCTAAGTCTAAACCATTTAGATACAAAGACCTAAAATGTTAAATTTCGATTTCTGAATATGAAAAGCAACCAGAAACATAATGAAACAATAAAAAACAAGAGTTTCAGGATTATCAACAAAAGAAACACAAAGAAATCACAAGAAACAAAAGCTAACAACAAAGTGATAATACCAATAAATAAAATTTGAAGTACAAAAAGAAAAAATACATGAGAAAAATCACATTTTTTTGAATATGTCATTATTTTTCAAGTTCATCATTTTAATTTTTCATATTTTAATTCTTTGAGTTTATTTTAATTTTACACAATTTTAAGTTACATTAATTTATAAATTTTTGACTTTGTATATAATTCGATTTTAATTTTTTTTACTTTTCATAAAAACTTATAATTACTTTTCATACTTTTTAATAGTTTCAAAACATTTTTATCTAATTTTACGTTTTTTAAAATTTTATTTATATTTTAAACTATTTTAGACTTTTTAATGTTTATTTTCAAGTTTTTGATATTAAGTTTTCTATATTTTTCTATTTTTGCTTTTCAAATTTAAATAACAACTTTCCAATTTTCAGGGGCGGACCCAGGAAAGTCATCTTGAGGGGCGAAAATATTTTTTTTGGGGTTCAAAATACTTTTTGAGAGAGCGAGAATTATTTTTCGTATATATATACACTAAAAAAATTGTTGGGGGCGGTAACTCCTCTGGGTCTCTACTACGGTCCGCCCCTGCCAATTTTTATATTTTTTCATATTGTAACTTTGACTTCTTCATTTTTTAAAATCTAATTTGATTTTTAGAATTCTAAAAATATTTTTTTTAATTTTTTGAAACTGTTTTTTTCTATTTTTTGTCGGTAAAGTACAATTTGAATGATGTGAATGTTTTCAAATTTTATATATTTATTTGAATTTTTTTGAATGTTTTTTATATTGTATGTGTTCTGATTTTAAAAAATAACTATCACATAAATTTCTAACTACTTTTGATATTTATAACCATTAAATTTTATATTAAGTTTTTTTTTTTATAATTTTCCCAAATTTTTAAGTATGTTAGACATTTTTCATTTTTCTTTTCGAGTTTTGGATTCCAAATCTACTTTACATATATCTTACATTTTTATGATTTATTTTAAAAGTTTTCAAAATCTAATTTACAAGTTTTAATTTCAACTTTTTTTATGCTTGCTTGATTTTTAATGTTGTTAATTTGAGTTTTTAAAGCAAATATTTACTTTATAGAATTTTAGACTTTTTATTTTTCCATTTATTAAAATGGCAGGGTGACTTCCCATTTGGCATCCTACATATGCATCAAAAGTGTAACGGTAGTTATAAGTGACTTGTCATATTGGAGTAGCTATAATGAATGTGCTGGATGAGAGTCAAGTGGGTTGAATTGTCCGTATAGTTTATTTTTGAAAAGAGAATGTTAATTGGCTTTTTTTGAAAAAAGTTTGAAAAGTGAAAAAAATTGACATTACTTTCACTTTTTGGCTATTTGTGAAAAATTCCCGTAATTAACCTAATAGTTACTTTTTTGGCTGATAAGTAATATCAACCCAAACAGCCCAAATGGTTAGTGTTTGGTTCTTTTTTTCTATTTTAAAGCTTATCAACCCATTTAATAGGCTCCAAACGGCCCCTAAATTTGGGATAGATATTGGGAGGCTGGACACATATAGGGGAAGTTAAGCATAGAGGAGTGTTTGCTAAACACTAAAATAAATGTTTTTCAGTTTTTTATTTAAAAAAATTCAAATGAGTGTATTCAAATGATAGCTTCTGCTTAATTTAATTACTTAAAAGTAAAAAGTTTTAAGCAGATTGAGAGGTGCTTTAAATTGCTTTTCATTTTTTCTATTACACAAAAAACACTTATTCTATCAAACATTACCAACTTTTACTTTTTCATAATCACATTTTTCTCAAACACTAATAACTTTTACTATTAATCACTTTTCCCAAAATCACTTGAGAAAATCTCTTTTTAAAAGTAGAAGCAATCGCAAACATTCCCTAAATCTGAGAGGGCGATTAAATACTTTCTATCATTTTTATAACACAGTAATGCATTTGCGTGCAAATTAAAAATAAAATTGTATATATAATCAAACAGTGTAATCTATTGTGCATGTGAACCGATTGTTTCTCTAAATTTTGTATGCAATCATTGATTCATTTCGCATGTAAAGGTTTAACGCGTAAACTGTCAAACGAACCCTTAGGATAACAGGACATGTGAAAGTTGGTTATAAAGTTGCTTACTGAAGTGCTTTCCGCATTTACCTTAGCACCTTATAATATATATTAAATAAAATATGCATATATTATATTATATCATATTATATTATATCATTTATATCATATCATATCATATCATATCATATCATATCATAATCATATTATATTATAGGAAAAATTGATTGTAATAATCCCAATTATTGGCGGTCCACTTATAATAATCCCAACTATCGATTATCTCAGAATAATCCCAACTTCAGTGACCTTCCGCCAATAATGGTCCATGACTAGATATGACTTGCTATAACAAGTGAATTTTAAATAGAAATAAAGGGTAAAAATTAAAAGTTGAATTATTTATAGGGATTACTTGTTATATCTATTCTAGGGGTGGACTCGGGCCGGGTCAACCGGCCCGGAACCGGACCGGCCCGCTACTGTGCGGGCCCGGCCCGGTGAACCGGTTCTAGGCCCGGTTCGGGCCAACCGGCCCGGTGGGATGGCGGTTCAGGCCCTTCAAAAGGTGAACCGGCCCGGCCGGTTCAGGCCCGGGCCGGGCCATTTTTTTTTTTGAATTTTTTTAAGTTTTTGGGTTGGGCTGAGCATTTTGGGCCATTTGAGGTGGTTAGGGTTGGTTTGGGGGTGTGGGGGAGGGTTGGGGGTTAACTAGGAAAAGCCCAAAAAAAAAATAGAACCGAGACCCGGCCCGGCCCGGACCCGGGGGTTACCCGGGCCGGTTCCGGGCCTCCCCTTCTTGAATCGAGGCCCGGCCGGGCCCAGGCCCGAAACGGACCCGAACCGGAACTGGTCCACCCCTATTCTCTTCTCATCCACTTTAGAAATTATAGAAATTTATTTATAACCGGTCATGTCGGATCATTATTGGCGGAAAACAGGTAAAAGCGCGGGCCTGGTTAGCACCCACCGGGCCCGACCAGGCCGATTCAAGAAAAATATGGCCCGAGCCCGGCCCGTCCAACCCGCCCCAACCAGGTAAAAACCCGGGCCTGGTTAGCACCCACCGATCCGGTCCGGGCTCGCACAATACCAGGCCGGTCCGAGCCGAACCGGTTGGGTCCATGCGTGATGCTTCTCACTATTTCTTATGCGAGGTTTTACTTTATCTCACCAAAAGGATATATTGAGTTATGTAATATATACAATAAAAACATCTATAATTTCGGTAATGACTCATTTTTAACCAAAAAAAACAAAAAAAAAACAAAAAAAGACTCATTTTTAACCATTGCGTAAAAATAACTAAAACCAGGTAGAGCATCAGTTGAGTACTTTATTGAGTTTATTCCCACGTCAAACCAAAACACAGAGAACAAATTTTACATACTGCGATTCATTTGTCCCCATTTAATACTCTGGATTAAATTTGAGACCAAGTTAAAAAAAGTAAAAAAAATGGTAAAAGTAGAAGAATGTAAACCGCACATTTTTTTAAATAAATGGCAAAAGTAACATTGTTTACAGAGGATCCGAATTCCGAAACGGAAAGTAGCAAGATAAAAAGGAAATCGGGGAGTAATACTTTTTCTTTGCCCGAGCAAGAGATTTACATGCAGCAAGTATTTCACCTTATTTGTAAAAGAAAATTCAATTCAACCAAAGAGAAGGGGAATGGGGTAAACGGTAAATTCACTTAGAATAGGATATAATAAAGCTTCTAACTTTCAAAGCCATTCACAGTGAAACCACCATCAACGGGAATAACCTGACCAGTTACATAAGAAGCTGAAGGAAGACAAAGGAAAGCAACCACTGATGAAACCTCTTCAGGTTCCCCTACCCGCCTGAGAGGGGTTCGGGATATCACCTTATCCAGAAACTCTTTGTTCGCAAACATCTGCAAAACAAAATTAATGACGCAAACAACTTATTTCATTGGAAATAAATACATGATAGAATAAAATGCAATGTGAGTTCTTAACATAAATAAAAAGCTCATCTTGTAACTGGCAGAACCGCCATTGCCGCTAGGCGCGAGAGGTGTTCTAAAGAGTAATCAATTGGAGGAAAGCCCACAATTTCGATTATAAAATGAATCGAAGTTTGAACTCGAGAGTCAAGAAATCATCCCACAAGGGATGAAGTTAAGTGTGGAGTGGATCCATTTGCAACACTTCTCTTTATGTTTGATGTTGATTCTATTGTATGTAAAAGAGAACTATGTGATGTGATTCTCAAACAGATATACTTTTAGACATAACTCACATAAGGCTAATTAATATCAGTTTTGAGAACAACTGGGTAAACTTCTACCATTAATCAGTTTCCAGAATAGTTATTTTTTAAGAAATTCTGCAAAACATATGAGTATCTAATACTTCTAACTTGCAACAAGTTAGATTCACCTCACCCATGGCTTGGCCAATTAATCAAATTACAAAATCACCTTTCAGAAGGGGAGCCTTGGCACACCCGTTAAGAAGTTGTTGTGTGACCAAGAGGTCATGAGATCAAATTTTGGGAGCAACCTCTTGTAAAAAAATTGATAGGGGAGGCTTCCCCTCTTTTTTTTTATTATTACAAAATGACCTTTCATATTTCAGAACAGCCAGAATTTTTGCAAATGACACTTAAAGATGATACAATATAATGATTGCGGGAATAGTTATTTGGAACTAAATTACCCTTGACATACGTCCTGAAGATTCTTATTAGGAAAAGCTTTATACTTCGTATAGTTTATTTAGCTGATAGAGTGCATTAAAACATCAACTACAATCACAAGGGCATACAATGTTAGCACTGACTTTATCTATGGCTAGTTGCTCTTAAAGACGGACGACTATAATTATATTCTATGATCTTCAAGTGTTAATCAGAACCCCCCATAAATTATAATGTAAACAAAGTAATAGATCATTAGAAAAGGAAGTCAAATATTGTATACCGGTTCAACAAGAGAGGTTTTAATATACCAAGGTGCTACACAATTGACCCTAATGGCATCTTTTGCCCATTCACAAGCCAAGTTCTTTGTAAGTTGGTTCATAGCCCCTGCAAGTGCATATTGAATACAAACCAATGAATTATTACACTTGTATAACTATAATCACTACAGCTTCAGTTTTAAAGGGCATGTTTCGTAAGAGTTATACTGCTACAATGCTTTATTCGTTGAATTTTTTGAAGGAAAATTGTTCAGTTACATCCAATTCTGCACTTACTGCAAGGCTTATTTGATCTAAATGACGAAATTTGCTGAATTTTTTTAAACGAAGAGCTTACTTCATGTGTGCTGAAAAAGAGTCATGCTGGACCAAATGAAAATAAGTTTTCGAGAAATTTACAGATATCTTGGTGAAAACAAAACTTTTATTACGGGAGAGTTATATTGATTTCAGCCAAAGTGCTTGCTTGGTAAGGGTTATTTGGCTGAAATAGCCTAATTTGGTGAGTTTTTAAAAAGGAGAAGAAATTGGTCTCATCAATTTAAGAGAAACAAGTCAGAAGCTATTGATTTTGTTTATTGTGAACATTATTCCTGTTAATCTGAATATGTAAACCAACCAACCAAGTGGACCCTTAGTAAGTCAAATGCTACTAATGATTATTTTTACGCTTCTATTGGTAAACAGAAGACGCCTTTTAATGCTACAACACAGAACATTTAACATACATGCTTATGTAAAGGGGTTAATTTTTGTGATTAATAAAGCTCGCCTTTGGTAGCGCCATAAATAGATCCAGCAGCAATATGTACCAAGCCAGCAACCGAGGAAACAAAGACAATGGATCCAGCTCCAGATGCCTTTAGAAGAGGATAACCAAGTTGAGAAAAATGGTAAGAAGACTCTAAGTTGGTAGCCATGAGATGAGAGTATTCTTCAGCTGTATACTCAACGGTAGGCTTCAAAATAGATTTCCCAACATTGTTAACCTGCACCCAGATTAATAAAAGTATCAGGAATGAGGCAGAGAGAACTGTCTCATACATGTAAATTTTGTTGTTTCAAGTGTCCCAAATAAGGATAAAGGATAATGTTCTAAAAGTACCCCACCTTTGAGGCTTCGATTATATAAGAAACGAATATCCAAAACTTTTACCTATAGGTTTTGATGTTGAATCTCCAAATCCAGCTCTTAGGTAAGAACACTGAAAATGAAGTTTTCTAATGTTGATGTCCTACAAACTTTGACATTTAGAATGATTAGCTGCTCATCTAATTTAAGGTCACATGATTGAGGCAAATTTGAGTTTCCCTATTTTTATGTTTTGACAATTGTATCAAATACACTTTTGGTACTCAACTTTGAAGTTTTCACTTTTAATCCCTTGAATATACTGACAGAGACATCTTTAGTACACTCTTTGAATTCTTTTACTTTTAACGATGATTATGATGACATATTGACATTGATATTGTTGGTACTCGTCTTCCTTCAATGAAAATGAAGCTCGTGGTACTAGTTTTTTGAAGTTTTGAAGATTGTCATGATAACTGGAGAACCAAAAGTGTCTATCGCGATAGTCATGCTGCGGAATACTCACAAGAATATTGAGCTTGCCATCAAAGGCAGAGGAAACCTTCTGAGAGAGAAGCACGCGTTGATCTCTGGACGTGACGTCACATACGGAACCCGAGACTTTGAGGCCTTTAGAAGCCCAATCTTGCAAGCACTGGTTCAGCTCTTCTTCATTCCTGGAACATGTGTATACACTGGCGCCCATTTCAGCCAGTTCCTCCACCACTGCACGCCTAATCCAGGAAAACCGTATTACACACTGAAGGAATTGCTAAACCTTGAAATGATTTTGGAGGAATTTTAGTTTTGAAAGGACAAAACGAGAAGTGCATAGGTAAAATTAGTTACCCGATTCCACGAGTGCTTCCGGTAACAAGAGCGGTCATCCCCGAAAGGGACCATCTTGAACGACGACTGCTACTCCTCGCTTCGTCCTTGGCCATTACTGAAAAGTGAAAATTTCTCTTCTTTCACAGAAAAAGCATATATGGCAGGCGATGACCAATTTGGAGCCACACGTTTCGATGACCAATTTAAATTAACAAAAGCTTCCCGCAGTTAAGGGGTGTTTGTATCTCATTTTTAAAACTGTTTGTGCTCTAATTTACTCCTAAAATCAGTTTCTTTAGAAGCCGGGGTAGACCAGTTTATGAAAACTGATTCTGATTCTGTTTCTACTTTAAAAAAGAAGCGGAATAAGAATTGGTTCCAAACACTCCCTAAAAACTTAAAATCTACTCGTATGTTGTCAAGGGTGAAAAGCAAATGTTGTGAACATTATGGGGTGAGTATGCACAAGCTTTGAGGAATATTCTCAATACTTCTATTCTTCAATTATTATAAACAATCTTTATTTAAACAAATTTATATGTCATTAGACGTACGTAGTACTACGTATCATTTATGAGCATTGCTTTTGTATTGTTTGAATCTTACTTCTATGAGATGATTATGAATTTAATAGTCACATTCCTTGTCCAAAAGATGGAATCTCCCACCCCCGGAGCCCTTCATATCCCGACCCGACAGGATTTTTGGGAGGATGTTAATCACGGTGACTCAGTCGACCCAATGATGGTAGACCCTTTTCTCGTGCGCACCAGAGATCCAGTCTTATTTCAGGTTCTGTGACCTCCACACGGCCGATGCGGGTTTCGAACCTTGGTCACTTGTCCAAATTTTCCACCACTGAACCAATTGAGCTACCCATGCAGGTAATAGTCACATTCCTTAGTACATGTAATCTTAATTATATAATCACACTAAAAAAGTTGCTTTATAATATGTATCACTTTTTAATAATTCAAGTTAAATTTCTACTTTTACTCTTAACATTGATTGAGCCATTTGGGTGGATACACTTTATAGCCACAAAGATGATTATTAGTGATTTACAAATTTAGGATGTTTTTAGTTGAATTTCTCTCGGTCCTAGACTATATAGGCTTAAATATATCAAATCGGACTTGAACAGATCAAACTAGATAAGACTTTGATAGTCGTAAAATATGCAGAGCAGACACTCACTAGATCAGTTCTACACTAGACTTAAACAAATTAAACCAGATCAGACTAGGCTAGATAATTTCAGTCCAATTAAAAAAAATCCTTATTCCTATCTCTCTTTAACTAATTAGTTATTCCACTAACATATCAATTAATATACGTAGTATATGTTAACATATAAATTAATTTTTTTACTGATGTCTTTATATTTGAGATATATTGGTACACAAGTCCCTAGATTGTGAGCATAACTTGCCAGAACTATGATGGTACTTAAATTCACTTTATATACATGTTGATTTTTTATAGGCTTCTTACATTTGTACATACTTGAATATAATACACAAACAGTGGCAGATATTTTTTTTTGAAAGTAACAGTGGCGGATCTGTAACCCAAAAATTTGAGAGTTCAATGCTTTTCTATAACTAGAAATTTTAATAGTAGAAAATTATATATATATATATATATATATATATATATATATATATATATATATATATATATATATACTTACATGTTTTATAAAATTTTGGGTGTTCATGTGAACACCTTAGAACACATGTGGCTCCGCCACTACACAAATTAGTTGGTATTGTGCATACTTACATATAATCAAGAATGTCAATTTCAATTTAATACAATTTATTGGGGAAATTCAACCGGTTCATAAATAATTTCATAAGAGAAAATTTATGAAATAAGAATAAAAACGTTTTGGAATTTCGAAATGAGGCCGCCATATTTTTTTTCTCTAAATGAGAGTAATTACTATGAGGTTTAAAAAATATTATCACGTTTAATAAAAGTATGAAATCTTATTTTGAAATTTCAAAACGTTTTTATTCCTATTTAGAGCAATTTTTAATTCGTAATTTGTTATCTGTGTGTTAACCCGTGCAACGCACGGGTGAAAGACTAGTTTAAATTAACAAAAGCTTCCCGCAGTTAACTGCTTCTGCTTCTGCTCCTTCAGGGAGCAGAAGCAGAAGCTGGAGTGTTTGGGTGAAAGTGCAGAAGTGATTCTGGTGCTCTAATTTACTCCTAGAATCAGTTTTTTTAGAAGCCGGAGGAGACCAGCTTATGAAAACTGATTCTGATTCTGCTTCTACTTTAAAAAAGAAGCGGAATCAGAATTGGTTCCAAACACCCCCTAAAAACTTAAAATCTACTCGTATGTTGCACACATGCTTTTGAGTCAGTTAGACCATTTGGAGCGTTGAGGTATTAGGAGTTCAAATGGCTAAATGTGAAATTTTTGGACTCCTAATTATGTGTAGTGGTGGCTTAGAGCATCTCCAATGCTACACCCGGGTGCACATTGCACACAATATGCACGGTGCACATGTGGCATGTGAGAGATAGATACAAAAAATTAAATTTATGACATTTATCTCTTCTTCTTTCCACGGTTTTGTGTGTTTTTTGTAAGTTTTTATCAACAATGTCAATCACAATGTCTACATCTAGACATTGTGTTTGACATTGTAGAGAAAAACTTACCAAAAACATATAAGACCGTTCAAATAAGGAGAGAGATATTCTATTCGTTATTTTTAAATTGGCTATTTCTTATGCCACGTATGCATCATTCACGTTTTTGCATTGGAGATGCTCTTAAAAAGGGTATTAAAAGTGGGAAAGTGGATGGAAGGGATTAAATATAGAGGGTGGGTTGAGAGGAGTGGAAAGGGAAAAATAAAGATAAAAGAAGAAATGTGGGACGACCAATATCCGGCAAATTATACGGTACACCCGGGTGTACACATACACCCAGGTATTTTTGAAATTCTTTCTAATTAGAATGGCAATTTAGTTCATAAGTGTGTATTCTTTCTGCGTCAATCTTCCTGCGGCAATCTTCCTGCACCAATATTTTCTCAGTCTTGTTTGCACTCTGAATTTTCTTTTGCTTCATGCCATCATACGTAGATCTTTGTTTACTACCTTTTCCCTCATGTATTCTATTTGCATCTGTGTTTTCTTCTTTGCGCATTCTTTTTTCTTTTAACCAACTTTTTCCAATAATTTTTATTGATAAATATGTGCCATATAAAATGGGCAACTTAACGTCGTTTGCTTTTTTTTATTTTTCAAATTAACCTTCATTTATATCTTAAGTATTTCTTTAAATTGTGCATTATAAAATATTGTAGGTATCGACCAATTGAATGTTCACCTTTATAAATTAATACTAAGCACATTAGAAATTAGTTTTATGTTAAACTCAAATTGATACAATGCTTGAAAGAAATGAACATGCACAAATGAGCTTTTGAATTTTTGAAAACTCATTTTGTAAGTTATGTATGTCCATTTAGTAGCTCTGTTATGCTCATTTAAAAATATTATATTAATGCATATTTCAAAAGTCACAAATTACATTAGATTTACATAGAAGTTGATTATAGACACGAGACCACAAATCATGATACTCAACCGCACGATTCTAATACTCAATAACAGAGGTTTGATGCTCACTGAAAATATTTTGATGTTCAACGAACAAAACTTACAATTTTCATATCAATGCTCATCTTGTAAGTTACGCATGCTCATTTGTATAGGTGTGATGCTCATTAAAAATTCATTAACGCTCATTTAATACAAATCGTGATTTTCATCTCAATAACAGAGGTTTGATGCTCAATTGAAATGTCGTGATGTTCAACTAACAAACCTTACGCTTTTCATATCAATGTGCACTTTGTAAGTTATGTATGCTCATTTGGTACTGATGTTATGATCATTTTTAAAATGTCATATCAATGCATATTTCAAAAGTATCATATTGCATTAGACTCGCATATTGAAATTAATAGGAGTGTATTATAGATATAATTTAATAATTTTTTATAAAAGAAAAAATAAGAAAAAAAAAGAATTAGAAGATATGAAGCAGAAATCGTGAAACTCATTGTTAGCCTCTTAAATACTCAATAAAATAGGTGAGATGCTCATTAAAATTACAATATTGCTCATTTAGCGGAAGCCGTAATTTTTTGCTTAAATTACAAAAATGTCAGTGAATTTTTTTTTGACTTGTATTAATGGTTGAGCTGTCTTTCTTACTTGGGTCGGGGTACGTACACCGGATGAACTATATACGTACCAATTGTGTGTAGGGCTGATGTCATCATTGCATCATAATATCCCAAAATTTTAAAAACTTATATAACCTTTTTATTTGTTCTTAAAATTTTTCAAAATATATATCAAAATTTGATGGATAGTGTACCCGGGGGGTAGTTTATCCGAGGGGTTATTACGGGAAGTAATAAGAGAGAAGTCAGAGCAAGTAAGTATATAGAGAGAAAGTGTATTTAGAAAGTATGCAACGTTTATGAGTTGGTTACAAATGGGGAAAATGGGTGCTATTTATGATAGCAATAAATGTCGGACAATGACACGTGTCAAGCGTCCATTGGCCGAGAGGTCACCTCAACTGGTTGGCGCTGGCAGCCGCATGTGGCCGCATTTAATGCGGCTGTTGGATGGGACGTTGTACAGGGTATGGTGATCTGTACGCATGTATCGCGGATATTATGTCGGGAGAGGTGCCCTCGGCTGCAGAGGACTAGCCGGGGGCTCTGAGTGCCGGGGACCCCTGGGTGCCGAGGGCTCCAGGTGCCGAGGGCTACTGTTTTCTGCCGTTTTTCTCCCAGTTTCATAGTTTGCTTGAGAAACCCGTTCTGTGAGAGTTTAGAGCCTTCGGCCAGGGGGCCGAAGGCACCCCTGGTGCGCATTGTGGGCTGCTTGGTACTCCGGGCGCCGTGATTTGGGCCTGTTGGGCCTTCTGGGCCTGTTGGGCCTTTACTGGAGTAGTAGGAGTCTGTGGGCCGGGTGTTCCCGGGCCATATACTCCATCAGGAGTCCCTCACTCCTTTTGCCGAAAGGTACTTGAGGGAAAAGGAGTAATTTGTGTTTGTCCCCTGCCGTTGTTCCGTTGTAATCTCTGAGGTTGGTGAGGAGTTGTTGCTTGCATGTCCCTGCCGAAGGCAGTCCCTCAGTTACCCACA